AGCCCTGAAAACGAAGAGATATAACAAAGGAGTATTTTAGCGGTAAACACGCAAACCTGTGTCTTTATAGACCAATCCGAGACTTTATTTGACCAAGATTCGACTTCAGACATAAGTTTGTCCTAGTACGCGACGATGTGTTCCCGAGAAATTTTGGTACGGCCGGTGTAAATATATTACCTGTGCTGTGATCCTTATACCAATGAACGTTACTGGTTTGCAACATATAATTGATATGCAGAATAAACAGTGGAAGTGTTAGCATGCAATATTGTGGAATCGTATGCTCCGATCTGCAAGAAAACTGGTGATCCAATAGCACAATTTTTGGGAAGCCAAACAAAAAAAAAGAACAAAGCTTCGAAAGAAGCGCTTTGTACCAAGCCCGATCCAAGGCCTTCAATATGTCCAAACTAACAGCGAAGGCCTTCGTCTAGGACTCTACTGCATCCATCATCTTGGAGTCAGGTACACCAGAAGATCATCAGCTGAGTGACCTCAGTGAAAACAGTATTTTATTTTCTAATCAGCTAATGGACCTCAAGGTACCTAATGAGCTGGTGGTTTATAATGGTTTCCATGGTTTTGGAGTACAAGGAGGTATTTATAACACCTATAATTAAGTCTACGCTTAGTTTTTATGATTTTTTGCAAAAATATTATGCTTTTGTTAGCGTATGTCTTGTTGGTGTTAAATAAATAAATAAATAAATAAAAATAAATAAATATTTATCAACTAATTAAAAAATTTACGGGGTTGAGGTGACTTTGGAGGTCAGGCTATGGGCCACCAAAGCCTATCCATCTGTCTACATGGAAAAATTTGATTATAATATTCCTTTACGTTCCATGAGAAGTGGCATGGTGTTACATCGTATTGAAAGTACATCCAGGTCCGTACAGTGAAGTTGTATTCCTCTAACATTTCAGACAAGTTGTTTTGTAGAAATTGCAAATACGCGTCGCCATTTAATCTGACAGGCAACTCGAACAGCCCGATCAGCAGTTTGCTGAGTACTCCTCTCTGTCCATAAATTGACCCTAAACTAGTGTTAAAAATTGTGGCGGCGATTTGCATATGGGGGGTTTTAAAACTCCAGAAGTGGTAATTGTTGTCCATGTTATGTTGTAACGTTACATATTCGTGTGTTTTATTCGATTAATTCATTCTTTCCTTTCGGTATTTTACTTACTAGCGTAGCGTACTCTAAACAATATAAACTTACTTACTTTTTTTTAGTAAACTTAAAACTAAATAAAAAATGTCGATTATTGGTTCACGGGCTACTCAAGCACATTTTTTAACATGATGCCCTAGTACTAGCTAAACGAAATTTTTAGGTTTAGTTCTTCATAAAAGCTTGTAGTTGTTAGGATAAGTTGTAGAAAAAATAAAATATGAAATATTTGTTTAAAAACCATAGAAATTGAAAATGTAAGTATTGTAAGTAATGTAAGATTTTGAAAAAAAAAAGGCTAAAATCTGATTTTGACTTAAATGTTTCCAAAGTCCAAATAACTTTGTAACCACTGAATATCGCAGAACATATAGGCGGATTAAGTCGATTAGTAGTAGTAGATAGGTACCGAGGTCCTCCATCCCCAACCTACCGATGATCTAACTCTCTTGTTACACTGGGTATATTAAAACGAAGTTCACTGGTCAGCTATACCGATCTTCTCTGCTTCTTCTAGCCGATTAAACACAATGGTGAGAATCATTATTTACTAGGTATAATCTACTAGATTGTAGGACTCCTTTTTTTTCCGAGACCGTTCGGTAGGTACCACCCTCTTATCTATTTCAAATGCCGTGTTCTTGTCTGCCGAGTGCAAGTATAATTAGAGGCCTTTGTATGAAGTTGGCTACTAGTTCCTGTGCATTAAGATAGCCACTTTTGATCAAGTGGACCGTAAGTTTATAAAAAAAATACTACAAACACATTAACTTATTAAATAACTTTAACCCAATGCCTTAATCACTTGAAACTTATACACTATAACAAGTAGGAGTATTAAATTCTACCCTCAAACACTTTTTTCTTTTATATTTCCTACACTCTATCTCCAACATAAAATATTTTGGATATGTTTCGAAATAGATATGAATATGAAGTGTGATATTTAAGTTTTAGGATTCTTTTTGAAATGAATATAACAATAACCAACATTTCAAAATCATGAAACCATTGAAATACAAAATACAAATAAGTAAAATGAAAAAATACTTCGCATAACGTTGCTACGACATTTTTTGCAATGCTTTTTTATAATTAGTTTGTCAAATTTTGGCCAAACCTAAGCCTAAAGTCAAAGTGATACGACTTTACAAAGCAAAAGATGTAGTATCTTTGGCAAATTCGTAACTCGTCCTTTTTAGGACAATTGGAAAAACCACGGCTATACTAATCGTTGGATACAGTTTCGTTACTTTATACATACCGTTTGTAATGATACTTCACGAATAGAAAAAAATTTATTAAGTAAATTGTCTTTGACAATCCTAAATAATAACAATCCCACATTAGTTGATCCTACCCAGGCCAAGACGAAGCTGGTCGCTATTTTATAAATGTTAACGTATTTTAAGTTACCATGTCAAAGTAGGTGTAGTGATATTGCCCACTTTTTCAATTCAAAATCTCTCATTCATTATATTCCATGGCGACCAGACGCTACACAGACGATCCAGTAAATTCATTTGTCGGGCGCAGACCGTCTGATTGAATAATTGATTCAATTTATAAAGGTTAGGAGTATTCTCTGTTGTTGGTTTTATTTAAAACTGCAATGTAATATTGATTTTACTTCGTGTTAGTAACACTAATCTTATAAAATATAATATTATAAACGAGACAAATAAACAAAAAAACAACACCGCATCTATGCTCTACACTAATGTTGAGTAGAATGATCCCGTAGATGATGATTTAGAAGATCGGAGATTTTATCAAAATGTCGAGAATATTTATTGAGTAAGGTTGAGGTGATCGCTATACATAGTAAAACAGCGTATGGTTTTGATTCAGAGGTTATAACTGCGGTCAGAAAGACTTTGACATTGACTTCGATAACACCACCAAAGACTCCGTGTTTACCTATAATAAAACATATATTTCTAATTCTGGAAAAAAAGATTGTCACATGTTATATAATGGTATCTTGTATGATTATCTTAAATTAAATTAAAAAATGTATTACAGCTCAACACCTACAAAAAAACTAAACGATAAAAACTACAGATACGAACTTTTGAGAACCAAGATGGAAAGCCTCAGTGTCTACTGTCATATCATATAAGTAAAGAATCCGTATAGTTTACTTATACTACTTGTGGTAATCTTAAAACCGAAACACAATAATAGACGCACTATTGCACTTACCCAGGCTGATTTTGGCCAGGAAAGGTATCCAAAATGTATATTTATGTGTAATGTAAATAAACACATAAAATATTACACAACAACAAAATAAAATAATTGAGACAACAGACAAACAGAATCTTCAGATTGATCTACAAAAGATGAACTAAAAAAAGACATTAAGAAAGCGCAAAAAATATGATGTTATTCTTAAAGAACGAAAGAAAATTAAAAGAGAAAAAAAATATATGCCAAATATTTTGTGAAACCCGGATGCCAAGAGAACATTTGTAAAAAAATGTTCAACGAAATTCTCAGAGGATTACCGCAAAATTATTAATCGTAATTTCTGAAAAATGTCATGGTCGGAACAAAAACACTTTTTTTTAGATAATACTATCCAGCAAAACCCTGCAAGACCAAAGAAAAATGTCATGATCATGAGCATGGTAAACACTATGATCGAACTAAGACTGTTTCGTATTTCTTATGTGATGAAAACGGTGAGAAAGTTACGGTATGTAAAATGTTTTTTCTCACAACTTTGGGTTACAAGAAAAGTAACTGTAAGGCTGTGAGGAACATTATTGACACATACTATAAAACACAATACGCAGAGCCTATTGCTGACGGCCGAGGTCATAACCCGAACCCATCACAAATAGACAGTACAAAGATAAATGAACATATTATGTCTTTTCGTCCAGTTGTGTCGCATTATAGGAGAGTTCATGCACCAAACCGGAAATATTTGCCCTCGTATATCAATATCCGCATGATGTACGACAATTACTGTGAGAAAGAGCCTGAAATAAATGTGTCCTATGGATTTTATAGGAATGTCGTAAATGAGCTTAAAATATCCTTCACAAAGCTCGGACACGAGGAATGTGAATTGTGCGAAAAATTTTCTATTCACAACGCTAACGCAGCAATAAGGCACAGGAATTGCGAAGAATGCCAAGAATATGAAGATCATCACACTAGGTACATTTCAGCGAGAAAAAAAATATGAAGAGGATGTTGAAAGCCAAACGAAGCAAAAAAGTACTGACACCATAATATTTGCAGTTGATTTAGAAAAGGTAATTATGTTACCTCGCATGGAAGAATTTATAACGGTAATGTTTTGTCCAAGGCTAATCGTTTTCAATCAGAGTTTTGTTGCTGTGGGTGACAAAAGGTTACATGGAGTTGAAAAAACACTGGGAGTCTTATGGCACGAAGCTATTGCAGGGAGAAAAAAGGAAGACATAATTAGCTGCCTTCAAGCATTTTTCTTTGAAAACCGGGACTGCAAAAATGAGATTTTGTGGCGGCCCAAAACAAAAATTGGTGCCTTTTTTCCTACTTAGTATATTTAGTAAATTCCAAGGGTGTAAATATTAAAGTGTTGTGCTGCGTTATCTGGAAGTTGGTCATACTTTTATTCCTGCCGATGAATTTCACCATAGAGTGGAGCAATCACTTAAGAAGAACAAGCGAGTGTATGACTTTGAAGATTTTTGTAAAGCTGTCGCTGGTACTGGTTCAAATACTGTGGTGAAAAAAATGACAGTCCAGGATTTTCACGATTTTGAAGACTGCTCTTCATCGTATAAATTACAACATTCTGTGCCGCGAGCTTATTTAAGAAACATGTCTGAAATTACTTTTCGGCGTGGGAGCAATTCGATGTTCTACAAGAACAGCCATGAAATTGAAGAGCAAATAGAATTGGATTTCTTGAGAATTAAAAATCTTAAAATTGGCATTCCATTGCCTAAGCAGAAGCTTTCTCCACGAGGTATAACATCTGAGAGGAAATCAGCTATACTTTCCAAGCTTGGGCCACTCATGCCTGACAACAGAAGAGGTTTTTGGGAAATCCTACCCGTTAACGACAGTTCAGCTGATCTCACAGAAATTTATGAAGACTAAAATAAAAGACTATTTTTTTAAATTAATATTTTAAGGAAAACTGTTTATTTAATTTTCTTTATACTTTTTTATAGTTATTACCAAAATATTACATTGTGATAATTCAACCAAGTACCTTGTTATGTTTGTTATAGTTACATTTAATTTTTATAATAATAATTTACTTACTTACTTACTTATCTTCACGCACAATCCCTAACGGGGTAGCCAGAGAGAACAGATCGCCAAGTGTCACGATCCTTACATACCTCTTTCGCTTCTTTCAGGTTCATTAACTTCTTCATACATGCACGTCTAGGTATCCGAGTACTCTTGACCCTCCCCTCTTCGAGCAATTTGCTCACATGGTCTTCGAAATTTAGTCTCGGTCTACCTCGACACCTTTTAATATTTACTTTCGCTCTATATATTTTCTTCACCATTCGGTCTTCACTCATTCGTTCAACGTGCCCAAACCATTGGAGTACGCCCCTATCAATTTTTGTGATAAGGTCATCTTTCAATCCTGCCATATTGCGAATCTCTTCGTTTCGCTTTCCGTCGGCTAAGGTGACGCCACACATTTTACGAAGAGATCGCATCTCCACTGCATTCAACTTGCTTTTATGCTTCTTCTGGCATACCCAGGTTTTGCTGCCATATAACAAAGTCGGTACCAACACCGCATTATGTATTGCAAGGCGTGCACTCTTCACCACGCCTTGCCTTTTTACTAATGCATTCAGGGCACCATTGACTTTGTTTCCGGCAGCGACACGCCTATCCACATCTAAATCACATCTTCCATCCCGGCTGAAAGCACTCCCCAAGTATACAATTTAATTTACCTGTTCTAGACATTCCTGATTTACCCATATTTCACATTTCGTTCTCTCTTCGTCCTTTTCAAATACCAGAACCTTAGTTTTATTAGCATTCAAACGGAGACCTTTAATTTCACATTCCTCTTTCATACACGTGACTAATGCCTGCAGTTCTGCTTCTGATGGTGCAATAAGCACTGCATCATCAGCATACATCAGACAATTAACTTTTATGTCACCCAATTTCACACCCAAACAGCTATTTTTCAGCTTCTGTAAACAGCTGTCGAGATACAGTATGAACAGCCAGGAAGACATGACACAACCCTGTTTTACGCCCGCTTGGACGCTAAACATGGGTGACAGGTCATGCCCTACCCGCACACAGGCTTTACAGTCATAGTAAAGTGACTGCACAGCCCTTAACAATCGACCATCCACACCATATCCCGGCAACAGTTCCCACATTTTCTTCCTTATAACCTTATCAAATGCTTTCTCCAGATCCACAAAAGCACAGAAAATCTTCTGGTTAACACTCAGAAGCTTCTCCGTGATCATGCGGAGAGAAAACATTTGATCCGTGCATCCTCTTCCAGGTCTAAATCCGCATTGTGCCTCCCATAAGAATCTTTCCGATTTCTCTTGCATCCTACGTGTCAAAACCTTCGAGTAAACTTTACTTGCTAAACTGGTCAAGCTGATCGCCCGATAGCACCCGCAGTCAAAATGTGAACCTTTACCTTTATATAAAGGCACAATGACCGCGGATCGCCAATCATCCGGGACATCTCCCGTCCGCCAGCACAAATTGCATAGCAGATGGAAGCTGTCCCAGACGCGAGGCCTACCGTACTTGACCATTTCAGCAGTAACTCTGTCTAGTCCCGCAGCCTTACCACATTTCAAACTTCGAATCGCACGTTCAATCTCTTTCATGCTGATGACCTCAGTGTCATCGAGATCCGTGTCTGGCGTGCCAGTCACGGCGTCACCCCCGGATCCTTCACTAAGATCATGACACGCATACATTTCTCTATAAAATTCACTCCATCGCTGCATGACGTCCGATTTTTCTGAGAGGACGTCATTGGTTCTCGAAAGCACTTTGTTCATTCTTAAGGCTGTCGCACCACTCCGGGACCTTCCAACCTCTTTCCAGAGATTATAATAATAATAATAGTATTTTTAAAAATATTAAACTACAAGTGCCTTTAATAATTACGGATGTAAGCTATTTCCTGTAAATGAACAATAAATAATTAGAGTAAGCTCTAATAGAGTATAAGCTAATCAATTAGATATTATTCTAATTATTTATTGTTTTTTATAATTAAATAAGAGTTCAAAACCAAAATTTATGCTCCTAATTACTGCCTCTATTAAGAATTAAGAATATTTTGATTTATTTTTCATGTTGTGATTTAGAGTAACTATTTTTTTATTGATTTTTAAGTTAGGGTCCAACCTATTTGTAAAAAGAATAAAAGTAATTAATTTTTACTTTCCTTAGGTATCTAACTAAACAAAAAGTGTAATTGAGTTTAATTATTAGCACTTTTTGTTTCTAATTCATAAGTTCTATTTGTTAACCAAAATTGTATGTAGATGCTTATCCCTAATAATTTATAAATAACTATTAAATATTAAGAACGTTTTTTTTAAGCTATTGTATAGCTTCTATCGCGGGCCTTGAGCGCGGGGACCGAATCCAGAAATTCCGTAACGAAAAAAACCTCACGCTCCCCACTCCGACGGGCCCGGAGGTGTGGCGTTGAAAGCCGTGCATCGTCTAACGTCGTTTCAGTTCGGCAGACTTCGGCACTCGGCAGACTCCGGCACGGTGTTTGTGTGCGTGCGACTAGACGTATGCATGTACACTAGCTGCTAACTCAATGATAAAAATTCCTGATTAACCTACATGTATTGTAAGATATTAAAAATATTTTAAACAATTAACTTCTCATTTATTCAATAAGAAAAAAAATTGTTTTCTTATCGGTCACCACTCTCAAAAAGTGTAACTTGATTTAATATCAAAGACTTAACTGCATAAATAAAATAAATAAATAATTATAATTACATAAGTTGATAAAAAATGCTATGCAATAGCTTTACCGCGGCAGTCATCGAGTGCCACACGTATTTTTTTTTGTTTAAATGTTGGTGTCCTAGAAGAAGATTCGTTAAGTTTTGTTTCAGTTATTTGGATAAGCTAACCAGAAATGGCATGATAATATTATAAATATGTTTTGTAGTATATTAAACTTTCTTCACATGATTATTTGTTTTTTTTTTTTTTTGTAGAAAACAATTAAGTCAATTTACACTAAAAAGGACGCAATTAGACAAATATGCCCTTTCTTTTAGACTCAATGACCAATTTGTTTGAAATATTAAAAAGAAAGGTCACATTTGGTTAACTATGCCTTTTCTTTGTAGTAAGTGGTATTTTTAAAATATTTTTTTTAAGTTGAAAGGATTTTTTTAGAATTTATTTAATAATTAATTATATACAAAAATTAAAAAGTAAAAAATATAATAGTACTAACCTTCACGCATATATCATCAGTATTTTTTTTCTTTTAAGCTATAGGTTTCCACACTATGAAGCAGAATATGGTAAAAAACTTTAATCTCAATTATCTCAGTTTGACCAAAATGATAGATGTGCCCTTCTTTCGTACGACGGCAGTATAAGACTATACTGCCGTCTACCTTTCAGAGATTACAAAGCGTAATCTCTGAAAGGTCAAGCCTTGGCAAGATCTGAAATAAGCGTTTCCCTCCCTTCGGCGTAGAAAACGCCGCTAGTAAAGTTTTATATAAATCTTTTCTATATAAACTCCCATTAACACCGTATAGTCGGTTTTGGAGGAATGCATGGCTCTAGAGATATCTTCATACATTTCCTCCATCTCCTCATCGGAATTTGCCGAGATTGGTGCGTAAATCTGTATGACCTCCAGCGAATACCATTTGGTGATTTTGAGTATAAGTTAGGCAGCAACCCCCCGTCGATACACTCGCAATCTTTATAATGTTAACAAGAGATTTGTGGACGATAAATGCGACACCGCTTTGGGACAGATGATCGCCCTTCTGGTGGATAGAGCAAGTTGCCGGATTCGAGGATTACTATGTCCTTCTCCTCTTTGGGACCTCAGATAATCGTATATCCCAGCACAACTTGTCTCTCACTTTTTCCAGCTCTAGATTTCTTCGGACCACACAGAGTGCGTGCATTATATGTTGCTAGGTCGAGCCGTGTTGGGTGGCAACCGAACCTCCACCGGAAATTCTTAGCACCCCCTGCCCTGCTGATATCGTGGTCGCCAAGAATATATCAATCTATGTACGGGTTACCGCACATATTTTATGTAATTTTATTTCAATGACTCGTTTATTTAGTACTTTTGCCTATACATCAATTTATAATTCTTTACAATAAATTCAGTGTTAGATCGACTTTCATGGGGTTTGTTTCGTATACTAACTTTCCCTTGCATCCCATCTGCACTCATTCATCTTATATACTGTAATACAGTTACAGTGTTTTGGTCCTTCGAAAAGACAAGATCATATCTGTGGATTTCCATCGACATTTGGAAAATACAGTTACAGTGGTTCCTACGCTTACGTCACTTTATTTTGTTTGTGGATTTTGTGCGACTGCGAATCGGTTGACTGGCTTCCCAGAAGCGGGTCCCACCAGTTTTATTAAGAAGGCGCAAAAATGGTAGTACTAGGTTCGCGAAGATATAGAGTGGCCTGGACCGCTGGACAAACATCTGCTACAGCTGCTATCAAAGTGGACAGTTGTCGTCGACATTCGACACAGTGAACAGTGCTAAGACTCGGTGAGCAGTGAACTTAGAGTGTACCTTTTTTCGTCCTCGGAGTGTCACACAGTGAACAAGCATAATGGAGAATCTACTTTAGCGCCAACAGTAGATTGTTGAAGCGATCAAGAAGATAGAGAGAAACTTCAGCAAGGATTCCGCAACACGCAAGACTCGTAAGTACTTGAACGAGCGACTCGATGCCCTTGATAAACTGTGGGCCGAGTTCCAAGTAAACAACCATAAGTTATCCGACTATGAGAATGACTCTGATCCTTACTTTACGGGAAATCAGTACCAACAAGCAAGAACGTACTTTGATACTGTGCGCATCAAGATATCGACCTGCCCCCCT